CCACGGATCGGGGGGAATCACTGGGCCTGGAGCGGGTCCGCGGCCTCGTATTTATAGGGAGGGGCCGCGCGGTGATTGGTGCTCTGCAGTGCCCGCCCCGCCGCCCGGCAGAACGCTCCCGTCTCCCCGCTCATTTTGTGTTTCTTAGGAGGCGAAAAAGACGGTTTTTATCCGAATTTCGGCCACTCACTCCTCCCCGATTCGCAGCGGCGTGGAAAAGAAAGACTCTTGTTCCCCTCAGCGAAGTTTCCCTTCGGAGAGACAACGGGTGAGTTAAAAAAGAGGCAATAAACCCCGAGTCCTGGACCTGGAGAGACCTCGGGAGGCAGAAACTTTTGTTTTTCCTTCTAAATAAAATTCGCGACGTGGTCAACTAAACCTCCAAAGTAATTAATTGTTATTCTTTAAAGGGTCTTCTCTTAATCTGAACTGAAAATCGGACATTTGAATGGATATTTTAAACGCAAATCGATTTCAAAGAGGAGGAAGTAACACAGGCTCATCTTGAGCACTGAATATGGATTAGAAATTAGCTCCTTTGTCCCGAATCCTTTACCCCTTTCAAAATAATTTAAATAAATCCAATTAGTGCATGATGCAGCAAGGCAAGAAGCAGGTGAAAGTTTGGTGGGGGGCTGTTTGTGTCCTAGGAAGAATGACTTTTTTACAGCACAGCAGCTTGTGCTGTCTTGCTCAGTGTGCACAATGCAGGCACCGTTCCCAAGTGCTCTGCTGCCGAAATATTTATTTTCTTAATAAATTAGGTGACAGAAGAGCTTAACACGGCCCGTTTTCGTTAATAATTATAATCAGCACCCTGTCACTTCATAATTTGGCAGTGGTTTTTTTTTTTTGACACAGCTTGATAAGTGAAAAAACTGACTCAGCATTATCTTAGGAGACACAACTGCAGCTGAGGTTTTTCCCTGCTTCCGCACAGCAAAACTCGCTCCCGTTATCGGTTTGGACCCCACTTTCGCACCAGACTGTGAAATATTCTCTTCCCCCCGCCCCACTCTGCAGTGACTGATTCGTGCCCTGGAAGTAATATTAGAACTAGGATAAGAGGCTGATGTATGTGCTGTACTGAAACAACTGGCTTCAAGCAAGAGGGGGAAGTCCTCACCTGCACTTTACCAATACCACGCTTAAACAGAGTAAAACTAAAAACATTTTATTTTTCGGAGTACGGAGAATTGAAAGGAATATTCTCTGGTATTATTGCCTACAACCCCTTGTTTTGCCAGAGGCATGTAAACTGCTTGTTACTTCTTGACATTGTGACTGTCAGTGGTACTAAAACGTCGTGTGGTGTTATGATTAAAGAAATCTGTTTTCAAATGGATCCCTATTCATATGTGTTTGTGGACCTGTAACTATCAATTTTCTGTTTCTATTTCAACATCTGTACAGTGGTGGTCAGTGCTACAGGTTAAGGTAGAATCAGAATTGGAAAAGTCCCTTTTTACCTCAAATTACCCATCCTACAATTACAGGTTATTCCTAAACCTGCTCAAATTTCAGTTGCAGCAGCTCAGGCAGAGCCGTGAGAAAACTGTATGAAAAAATACTAATTCAGAATGCCTGTTGGTATGAAAAGGACACAGCTGCAGGTCAAAGGGTTGTTTAGAGCAGGCAAGAAGGTTTTTGAAGGTGTTGGTGCATTACTTCAACTCCACAGGACCAGGCTGAGAAAGGACAAGACTGAGGGGGGGGCTGCGAGTTCCTTGCAAGATCAACTTTGAGACTTTCTGTCCCCCACCAGAGCAAAACAACTCATCTCACATGGAATCTCCTTACTTTTAGTACTGTATTTACCAGTGATTAATACGGTCTCTTGTACTTTACTAAACTAACATTAGAACAGGAGTTCTGCGATTTTTTTTCTTTATTGAAGTGTCAAATCTTGAAGAACAGTTGGTTTTGCAAGTCTGGAGATTTATGTTTTTCTGTTATTTTTTTCAGTGCTACGATCTACAGCTCCTTTTATGAAAAAGTGGGTGGCTCTAAAAAGAGCCTTTATATTAACTTGAAGTGAGAGCTTTTACTTGCTCTTTGCCTTGTGGCTGTCAGTCTTCTTGGGCAGCA